GGGTGGAGGGGAGCCTTGTGGGGGAGTGAATGGGGGCCCTGTCTCCCTGGAAAAGCCAGGGGAGATTCGCTAGGTGACTGAAAAACAGGCAGGGTTGCTGTCAGCTGTTGAGTGAGGGAGGCCTGAGTAACAGCCCCAGGCTGGGCATGGGGGTCGCTCTCTGTTTAATGAGGCAGCACCCCTGCCCCTCTGGTGGGGGGCTGTGAGCTCCCACACTCACGCTCTGGGACTCATCCTCTGAAGTCAAACTAACAAGCCAGAGCAGACCCAGGTGCTGGGGAGGGCTGAAGGAGCTTTCCTGCAGCGGGCTGGGCCCAGCCCTAACCTGGGGAGGGTGGTCAGCCGCCCTGCCCAGCTGCCTAGGCTGGGGTCTCTGGCCAGGGCTAGCCCAAAGACAGTGTCCTGGTGTGTGCTGAGTGCTCGGGGCTTCCTCGCGGGGCGTGTCTCTGCCTGGGGCCCTTCCTGCCCATCCTGAGCTGTGGCTGCCCAAGGTGCCTCGGGTACCTCTGCACAGCCCGTGCAGCAGCCTCCCAGCCCCAGCCGGGCTTGGGCTAGCGCTTGGAAAATGGCTGTGTAGACACACGTTGAGTTCCACTGGGTCCCTGAAACCCCCCCGAGCCCTGCCCTCCCACGGGCTGTTAGATGGACCCTTCTGGGCAGTGCAGGCACCTGCCACCCGTGCAGTCACAGGGCACCCCGAGTAGCATGACCAGATTTCCTGATTTTATAGTGGCAGTTGTGATATTTCAGGGCTTTGTCTTATATAGGTGCCTGTTTATCCCCTCCCACCCTATCCTGATTTTTCACATGATCTGGTCATCCTAGCCCCAAGGCAGCCCCCTGACAGCCAGATCTGGCCCAGTAGGGCCTTCCATTTGGCCTGCCAGGCGTCAGCAGCTCGATCCTGCTCCTTGCTGGGGGCTCCGCTGTACGGCCAGCCCGGCTTCAGCACCTGGCCTCCCCTGCCCAGTCCCGGCTGCTGTTCCCTCTGTGTGCCCTCGGGGGACGCTCTTGTCATAGAAATTTCTGTCCGTTCCAGCTGAGGAATAAGGAGAGACGGACGCAGCTAATCAAGCAAGGAGCCCCGGGAGGGGCAGTCCGTTTATTTCAATTGCAATTGGGTTCGAGCTCATAAGTCAGCAAGAACAAAGAAAACACTTACACCAAAGCATTATATGCAGTTGACTATGATAATCTATTGCTTTACGATTGGCCAAAATTTGCCATCGTTACCATACATAATTAGCAAGCTACATGTATCTGCCCCTCTTATGACCCCTTATTGTTCATCTACTTGCCCCCTCCTCCTTGCTTATTTTGCAAACCAAGCAGTTAGCTATCTACAGGACGCAGGCACAGAAAGGTCCATTGTCTCCAGGTTTGGAGTTTGGCTACATTTCCTCTCGAAGGAACTTCCTGAGTTAAGACATAGCAATAGCTGTGCTGTATATCTTCCATGTGTAGGTGACAAATTTGCCCCCTGGCAGTTAAGCAGAATAATTTTATATCACTCTGCAGCCAGGAGGGAAGGGGGCTGCCAGGAGCATGGAGCTGGGCAGAGCCCGTGGGGAGCAGGGAGGAACAGCTCACGTGGGGCAGCTGAACAAAAGGCCCTCCCCAGATCCCTGTGCCCCCCGCCAGGCGCCCCCTTTCCCTCCGAGCTGGCAGGTGCCAGGGCTGGGCCCGGGTGGGAGCAAGCGGGCCTCAGAGGCAGGTCTGGAGCCTGGGCAGCGGAGCGGGAGTCGGAGTGGCTGGGCGCCAGGGCAGGCCCGGAGGCAGAGCTGAGCAGTGGGGCCCCAGTTGGGAACGGGGGCTGGGCCGGGCTCTAGGGGAGTCACCCCAGGCTCCGCAGGGCAGATGCCGGCCCTGCCGCTGCCCCACACCCGTCTCCGGCCTGGCCCGATCAAGCCTGAGCTTGGGAGGGAAAGCTGGCGCTAGGCCCTGGTTACCGTGGCGACGGAGCCGCAGGAACTGGGTCAGCCTGCTCCCTAGCAGAGACTCTGCTGCCAGCAGGGCCCACCTCACGGGCGGGTGACGTGGGCCCCCTGAGTGAGGCTGGGGGGGGCCGGGGAGGCAGCCGTGGGAGGGCATGGGGTGATGGGAGGGGGAGGCAGCTGTGGGAGGGGGGGACATTGGGGGTGGGCTGGGGAGGCAGCTGTGGGGGTGGGGGCATGGGGTGATGGAGGTGTGTGGAGGCAGCTGTGTGGGTGGTGGAGGCAGCTGCCGGGGGGGAGGGAGCTTGTGGTGATGGGGGGTGGGGTGGAGGCAGCCGTGGGGCAGGCGGGCATGGGGCGATGGGTGGGGGGAGGGGCATCCAGTCCTGTCCGCTCCGGAAAGGATGGGTCCAGGGGGCTGCCTGGGATGCTGGGCTTTGGGGGTCCCCTCGGGCTGTGACTGGCTGGCAGTGGGGGGACTCAGGAGCTAGGCCTCTAACGCCCCCTCCGTGTGTTTTCTCCTCAGCACTGAAGCGGCAGTGAGCGCCTGGGAACATGTCCCACGAGAAGAGCTTCCTGGTGTCGGGCGATGGCTTCCCCGCTCCAAGCCCTGCCTTCCCTGGGCAGCAGCCTCCTGCCCCGCCAGCCTACGCACAGCCCCCCTATCCACAGCCCCAGTTCCAGCCAGGACCTTACAACCAGCCGGGCTTTCCGCAGGGCCCGTACCCTCAGGGGCCTGGGCCGTACCCACCGGCCCCGTATGCTCAGGGGCCATATCCACCAGCAGGCGCGTATCCTCAGGGGCCGTACCCATCAGGGCCGTATATGCAGCCGCCATACGCCCAGCCACAGCCCATAGTCTCAGAGGACCAAGGCTGTAAGTGACATTGCTGCTCCCGTGGGGGCAGTGGGGAGGGCGTGCCTGGGGGAGCTGCCCCATCCCCCTCTAGAGCTGAGCGAGAGTCTAACCCTCCCAGCAGCCAGGCTGTGTTCTGCCCACCTGGAGTCACAGCAGGTGCTGCTGGTCCAGCTGGAGGCGTCTCCCCAAAGTCTGCTGCAGCTAGTGGTGCTCTCTGACCTGCTGCCATGCAGAGCTCCCAGACTCCTCCTGGGGCTCCCAGCTCTACTCCCTCTCCCCCCACATCTGCTCTGCACCTGCTGTGGCCCTAGAGATAGTACCTGTGTCCACTTTGCAGCTGGGACTCAAGGATGGGGTAAGCTGCCAGGAAATGGGGTGAAAGATGCAGAGCCAGCCCCATCCCTGGGGGGCCAAGTGAGGGGGTCTGGGTTATGTGGCCGGCTCTGGACATAGAATCCTAGAATATCAGGGTTGGAAGGGACCTCAGGAGGTATCTAGTCCAACTCCCTGCTCAAAGCAGGACCAACTCCCAACTAAATTATTCCAGCCAGGGCTTTGTCAAGCCTGACCGTAAAAACCTCTAAGGAAGGAGATTCCACCACCTCCCTAGGTAACCCATTCCAGTGCTTCACCACCCTCCTAGTGAAAAAGTTTTTCCTAATATCCAACCTAAACCTCCCCCACTGCAACTTGAGACCATTGCTCCTTGTTCTGTCATCTGCCACCACTGAGAACAGCCGAGCTCCATCCTCTTTGGAACCCCCTTTCAGGTAGTTGAAAGCAGCTATCAAATCCCCTCTCATTCTTCTCTTCTGCAGACTAAACAATCCCAGTTCCCTCAGCCTCTCCTCATAAGTCATGTGCTCCAAATCCCTAATCATTTTTGTTGCCCTCCGCTGGACTCTTTCCAATTTCTCCACATCCTTCTTGTAGTGTGAGGCCCAAAACTGGACACAGTACTCCAGATGAGGCCTCACCAATGTTGAATAGAGGGGAATGATCAAGTCCCTCGGTCTGCTGGCAGTGCCCCTACTTATACAGCCCAAAATGCCATTAGACTTCTTGGCAACAAGGGCACACTGTCGATTCATCTCCAGCTTCTCATCCACTGTAACCCCTAGGTCCTTTTCTGCAGAACTGCTGCCTAGCCATTCGGTCCCTAGTCTGTAACAGTGCATGGGATTCTTCCGTCCAAAGTGCAGGACTCTGCATTTGTCCTTGTTGAACCTCATCAGATTTCTTTTGGCCCAATTCTCTAATTTGTCTAGGTCCCTCTGTATCTTATCCCTACCCTCCAGCATATCTACCAGTCCTCCCAGTTTAGAGTCATCTGGAAACTTGCTAAGGGTGCAGTCCACGCCATCCTCCAGATCATTAATGAAGATATTGAACAAAACTGGCCCCAGGACCGACCCTTGGGGCACTGCGCTTGATACCAGCCGCCAACTCGGCATGGAGCCATTGATCACTACCCGTTGAGCCCGATGATCTAGCCCGCTTTCTGTCCACTTTATAGTCCATTCATCCAGCCTATGCTTCTTTAACTTGCCGGCAAGAATACTATGGGAGACCGTATCAAAAGATTTGCTAAAGTCAAGGAATAACACGTCCACTGCTTTCCCCTCATCCACAGAGCAGTTATCTCGTCATAGAAGGCAATTAGGTTAGTCAGGCATGACTTGCCCTTGGTGAATCCATGCTGACTGTTCCTGATCACTTTCCTCTCCTTTAAGTGCCTCAGAATTGATTCCTTGAGGACCTGCTCCATGGTTTTCCAGGGACTGAGGTGAGGCTGACTGGCCTGTAGTTCCCCGGATCCTCCTCCTTCCCTTTTTTTAAAGATGGGCACCACATTAGCCTTTTTCCAGTCATCCGGGAACTCCCCGGATCTCCATGAGTTTTCAAAGATAATGGCCAATGGCTCTGCAATCACATCCGCCAACTCCTTTTGCAGCCTTGGATGCAGCACATCCGGCCCCATGGACTTGTGCTCGTCCAGCTTTTCTAAATAGTCCCGAACCACTTCTTTCTCCACAGAGGGCTGGTCACCTCCTCCCCATATTGTGCTGCCCAGTGCAGCAGTCTGGGAGCTGACCTTATTCGTGAAGACAGAGGCAAAAAAAGCATTGAGTACATTAGCTTTTTCCACATCCTCTGTCGCTAGGTTGCCTCCCTCATTCAGGAAGGGGCCCACACTTTCCTTGACCACCTTCTTGTTGCTAACATACCTGAAGAAACCCTTTCTTGTTACTCTTAACATCTCTTGCTAGCTACAACTCCAAGTGTGATTTGGCCTTCCTGATTTCACTCCTGCATGCATGAGCAAAAGTTTTATACTCCTCCCTGGTCATTTGTCCAGTCTTTCACTTCTTGTAAGCTTCTTTTTTGTGTTTAAGATCAGCAAGGATTTCACTGTTAAGCCAAGCTGGTCGCCTGCCATATTTACTATTCTTTCTACACATCGGGATGGTTTGTTCCTGCAACCGCAATAAGGATTCTTTAAAATACAGCCAGCTCTCCTGGACCCCTTTGCCCTTCATGTTATTCTCCCAGGGGATCCTGCCCATCAGTTCTCTGAGGGAGTCAGTCTGCTTTTCTGAAGTCCAGGGTCCATATTCTGCTGCTCTCCTTTCTTCCTTGTGGCAGGATCCTGAACTTGACCATCTCATGGTCACTGCCTCCCAGGTTCCCATCCACTTTTGCTTCCCCTACTAATTCTTCCCGGTTTGTGAGCAGCAGGTCAAGAAAAGCTCTGCCCCTAGTTGGTTCCTCCAGCACTTGCACCAGGAAATCGTCCCCTACACTTTCCAAAAACTTCCTGGACTGTCTGTGCACCACTGTATTGCTCTCCCAGCAGATATCAAGGTGATTGAAGTCTCCCATGAGAACCAGGGCCTGCGATCTAGTAACTTCTATTAGTTGCCAGAAGAAAGCCTAGTCCACCTCATCCCCCTGGTCTGGTGGTCTATAGCAGACTCCCACCACGACATCACCCTTGTTGCTCACACTTCTAAACTAATCCAGAGAGACTCAGGTTTTTCTGCAGTTTCATACCAGAGCTCTGAGCAGTCATACTGCTCTCTTACATACAACTCCTCCACCTTTTCTGCTATGCCTGTCCTTCCTGAACAGTTTATATCCATCCATGACAGTACTCCAGTCATGTGAGTTATCCCACCAAGTCTCTGTTATTCCAATCACATCATAATTCCTTGACTGTGCCAGGACTTCCAGTTCTCCCTGTTTGTTTCCCAGGCGTCTCGCATTTGTGTCTAAGCGCTTAAGATAACTCACTGATTGTCCTGCTTTCTCAGTATGAGGCAGGAGTCCTCCCCTCTTGCGCTTTCCTGCTCGTGCTTCCTCTCGGTATCCCACTTATCTCAAGGCTTTGGTCTCCTTCCCCCCGTGAACCTAGTTTAAAGCCCTCCTCGCTAGGTTAGCCAGCCTGCTTGCGAAGATGCTCTTCCCTCTCTTCGTTAGGTGGAGCCCGTCTTTGCCTAGCACTCCTCCTTCTCGGATCACCATCCCATGGTCAAAGAATCCAAAGCCTTCTCTCCGACATCACCTGCGTAGCCATTCGTTGGCTTCCACAATTCGACGGTCTCTACCCGGGCCTTTTCCTTCCACAGGGTGGATGGACGAGAACACCACTTGCGCCTCAAACTCCTTTATCCTTCTTCCCAGAGCCACGTAGTCTGCAGTGATCTGCTCAAGGTCATTCTTGGCAGTATCATTGGTGCCCGCGTGGAGAAGCAGGAAGGGGTAGCGATCCAAGGGCTTGATGAGTCTCAGCAGTTTCTCCATCACATCGTGAATCCTAGCTCCTAGCAAGCAACCGACCTCTCGGTTTTCCCGGTCGGGACGGCAGATAGATGACTCAGTTCCCCTGAGGAGGGAGTCCCCGACCACCACCATCTGCCTCCTTTTCTTGGGAGTGGTGGTCGTGGAACCCCCATCCCTAGGACAGTGCATCTCATGCCTTCCAATTGGTGGAGTCGTCTTCTGCTCCCTTCCCTCAGATGTATCCTCTAGTCCACTCTCTGCATTAGTACCTGTGGAGAGAACATGAAAACGGTTACCCACCTGTATCTGCATTGCTGGTACATGGACGCTCCTCTTTCTTCTGGAGGTCACATGCTGCCAAATTTCTTCACCGTCTTTCTGTGAGTTTTCACATAGTTTGGCATGGTGGGGCAGTGGTAACCCTCCCAGTCTGAGAAGCTCTCTGGACCCCTCCATCCTGCACAGGGCCCAGGGGTCTGAGCGAGCGGTGGGATTTGGGGACTGAATCGGTGTGGCTTGGCAAGGTCACCGGAATCGCTGGGGCTCAGTGCTCTCTGCCTGCCCACTCCTTGCTGCTGCAGCCCTGAGGGTTTCTCTGCCCTGGGGACAGCAGCAGCTGCTTCCTCTGGAGAAGAAGGGGGAGTCCCTTGCTTGCAGCCCTCTTGCACCCCAGGGAGAGAAGAGGAGACTCCTGCAGCCTCCCCTCCCTGGGGCAGGTGAGGCCTAGCCATGAGCCAGGGCCCTGTTTCCTGCTGGCCCTCCACCATCGGGGAGGGGGGCATGGTGGGGTCTGGCAGGCTCCCACCTTCACGCTGGCATCCCACTCTGGAGGAAACGCCGAGCTCCCTGCAGTGACACCTCTTAGCCACAGGGTGGCATTGCAGGCAGCGGAGCTGCCCCTATGGCTGCTTTTCCCCACCCCCCTGCTGGCAGGGGAGACGGGCTGGGCATGGGGGGCAGCCCCAGGCTTCCTCCAGCCCTCTGAGAGGCGCAGGGCATAGACTCCTGCCTCCCCACATGGGTGCTCTCAGGTGGGCCGTGGCAGAGTCGATGTCCAAGTGCTGGCGTGGCAGGCATGGCCGTGCTCCTAGTCAGCTCTGCCCACTGCACCCAGCCCTGCCTGACCCCTCACCTGCCTTTCTTCTTTCCCTGTGTGGCACTGGCACCGCAAGATGGAATGAGCCCTCCCCGTGTGCCCTGGAGACCTGGCACCGTGGCCACCAGAGTTGGTGAGCTGCCGCTCCTGGGGCATAGCCAGGCCGTGATCTCCCCAGGGTTGGGGCTGGAGATGTGGAACAAGGTGCTGTAGTGCGTGCAGTAGAGCCCAGCACCCATCTGGCCTGGGGCCCATTCCCCTGGAGCTTAGTTCTTTCTGGGTACTGGGCTGCTCCTGGCCTGGGTGGGTGGAGGACTGAAGGGCTGTGCACCAGCTTCTGCCTTACTCCCCCTTTCTCCAGCTCCGCTGCACAGTAACTACCATGAGGACGGGCCGCCCTCGTACTACGACAACCAGGACTTCCCCATCACCCACTGGGACGACAAGAGCATCCGCCAGGCCTTCATCCGCAAGGTGAGGAGCTCCCCGTGCACTGGGGCAGGGGCCAAGGGCCTGTGATCCCCACTTAAGCAGGTGGGAGTGGCCCCCTCTTTGCATGGGGGCAGGGGAAGCGTCCCCACGGTGGGGGAGAGGGGACCTGCCCTCACCCATGTCATGTGCTCCTCCAGGTGTTCCTGGTGCTGACCCTCCAGCTGAGCGTGACCTTGGCCTTCGTGGCCATCTTCACCTTTGTGAAGGGCATGAAGGGCTTTGTGAGGCGCAACGTCTGGATGTACTATGTCTCCTACGCCATCTTCTTCATCTCGCTGATCGTGCTGAGTTGCTGTGGGGAGTTCCGCCGCAAGTACCCCTGGAACCTGGTTGCCCTGGTGAGCGCCAGCTTGCGGGCCCAGCACGGCTCTCGCAGCCCCACCGCTGAAATCCCCTCGCTTGGGGTGACAGTCTGGGGCTGGGAGGGGCCCTCTGCTCTGGGGCAGGCTGGAGTTGCTCTTCCCACCCACCGTGCTGTTCCCTACGCTGCCCCAGCCCTGGGGAGAGGGGTGAGAACTGACCTCATCCCCATACGACTCCCCTCCCTGTGCGGCATGCCCAGGCTCAGCGCTGCTGTGTGCTGAGCGCTCCGGGGAGTTCGCCCGACCCAGCCGCTTACGCGGGGTGCGTGTACCACTCACCCCGTGGTCTCGTGCCTCCTTCCAGGCGTGCTGAGCTGTGACAGCCCTGCTGGGGAGGGGCTGGGCGATGCAGAGGGTGTTGAGCCCAGGGAGGCACTAGGAGGCGCTGTGCTGCTGGCTCTGGGGCAGAGTCCCATAGGAGGCACTCTCTTGAGTCAGCACTGACCCCAAGCGCAGCCCCCTAGGTCCTGAGCACAGAGCCAATAACCACCCCATGGCCACAGCCCCTGGTGGATCTGGGGTGACAGATTTCATTACACTTGGGGCTAGTCGTCCTTTCTTGTCCCTTTGGCTGGGCGTGAGCTGGCTACATTGGGGCAGGGGGTGGAGACCCCTTCTCGCTGCCCAGCCTGTAAGGCTGATGGCCGTGTGCTACGCTTTTAGCAGGTGGCCGTTCCCTCCAGCAAAGGCTGTAAACCGTTCGTTCCCCGTTCTCCCCAGCCAGGCACTCTCCAGACCCGGCCCCTCCTGGGGTTGTAGGTTTCCAGCTCGGGGCTCCCCGGTGCGTGCTGCAAAAGGGTCCCCAGGGGAATGAGGCTGTTGTGGTGCAAAGGGTTTGCAGCTCGGGGCTGGACGGTGGTACCCAGGCCGCTGCCCTAGCAGCCTGGGGCGTCCCTCACCCGGGCTCAGCCTGCCCATCCCCCTCTAATGCATGTTCCCTCTCTCCAGTCCATCCTGACTCTCAGCCTCTCCTACATGGTGGGGATGATCGCCAGCTTCTACCAAACGGATGCCGTCATCATGGCCGTGGGCATCACGGCCATCGTCTGCTTCACCGTTGTCCTCTTCTCCCTGCAGGTGAGGGGGGCTGGGCTCGATCCCCAGGCTGGGCTGGGAGCTGGCTACTGGGCCACCCAGCGGGATCCCTTCATTAGAAGCCCTGTGGCTGTCTGGGGAATGAGGGGTTGGCTGGCTGGCATCTGCCTTCTCCAACTGTGAGAGTGGGGAGCCAGAAGCCCCAGGCCGCCCCCTTCTGGGGACTTAGCTAGCTCTCTCTGCCTGGGGCCCTGGCACCTGTGGGTCACTGCCCAGCTCCTGTCTGAGCCTTAGCCAGACACCTGCCTTTGAGAGTCGGTCACTGCTGCAGTAGCTTCCCTGGCACCGTCAGGCCTTCATGCTGCTAAGGGGTTGATGCTCCGGAGCCCTTGGGCAGCACCCGCTCGCTGACGTCTCCACATGCTCAGGCTGCGTTGGGTGTGGCTCGTGCTTAGTAGGAATGGCAGCGTCCCTGGGAGCTGGCCATGGGGTTGGCACAGGCCTGCACAACGTGCAGCCCGGGCGCCGCATGCGGCCCGTGTGGGCTCACTGTGTGGCCCGCGGGGGTTGAGTAGATGAGCTCACTGTGCAGCACGCGGGGGGGTGAGTAGGGAAGCGGCAGGTGAGGGAGGGGGGCTGAGTAGGCGAGCGAGCGGGCAGTGGCGGGGGGTGAGTAGGTGAGCAAGGGGAGAGGGGCTGAGGAGGTGAGTAGTGAGTCGGTGGCTGACCTGTCCTACTGATCTGGTCTGGCTCCCATCCCCTCTCCCAGGGCCGGCTCCAGGCACCAGCAAAACAAGCAGGTGCTTGGGGCGGCACATTTCTAGGGGCGGCATTCTGACGCCGGCCATCGTAGGTGCCGACTCTGGGGCATGGGGAAAAAGTGCCCTCGCCGCCCCAGCTTGCCTCCGCTCCGCCTGCTCCCCTGAGCGCGCCACCGCCGCTCCGCTTCTCCCCCCTCCCTCCCAGGCTTGCCACGTGCGAAAC